TGAACATATCTGCAGCTTGTGTTCGGGTTCCGACGTGCTCTAACTCCACATTTCCTTCTTTCACTTGTTCTCGGATGAAGTGAAACCGAACATCAATATGTTTGCTTCTCTCATGATTGACCGGATTCTTTGCCAATTCAATGGACGACTTGTTATCAACTCGAATCACAGTCCCTCTTTCTTGCTTCAACTCCAGCTTGCTTAGAAGGTTTCTAAGTCAAACTGCATGACAGACACTCCAGGATGCTGCAACGTACTCGGCTTCACAAGTTGACAACGTTACAATGGGCTGCTTTTTTGAAAGCCAGGTGAATGCTGTGTTTCTCATGAAGAATACATATCCAGACGTGTTTTTCCGGTCATCAACATCTCCACACTAGTCACTATCCGAGTAGCCTACTAGTCGATAATCATCCGTCCTAGTATACATTAGGCCAAGTGACACTGTTCCTCTCACATACCTTAGAATTCTCTTTAGTGCCTTCCAATGAGTATACCTTGGCTCCTCCATATATCGACTTGCTATTCCAACACTTAGCATTAAATCTGGTCTGGTATTTGTAAGATACCTAAGACTTCCAATCAGACTTCGGTATTTGCTCGCATCAACTCGGTCTCTATATGCATACTTAGAAAGTTTTGTATCAGGTTCCATAGGGGTGGAAACCGGGTTGCAACTTGTCATCTTAAACTTCTTCAAGATCTCCTCAGCATACCTGTCCTGCGACACAAATATGTCATCCTTTCCCTGAACAACTTTTAAGCCAAGAAAATACTTCATAAGACCCAAGTCAGTCATCTCAAACTCCTTCTTCATCACTTCTTTAAACTCTTCAATTAGCTCGGCATTATTCCCCATGAAGATAAGATCATCAACATATAGGGCAACAAACATCACATTTTCTCCTTTCTTCTTTATGTATAGAGCATGTTCATAAGGACACTGCTCATATCCATTCCTTTTGAAGTAAGTGTCAATTCTTTCATTCCATGCTCGTGGAGCTTGTTTCAAGCCATAAAGTGCCTTCTTCAATCTCAGCACTTTCTTCTCTTCTCCTCTTCGCATGTATCCGAGTGACTGTTCAACATATACTTCCTCCTCCAAGATTCCATTCAGAAATGCCGACTTCACGTCCATTTGCAAGATTGTCCATCTGTGTTGAGCTGCTAAGGAAATCAACATCCTAATTGTTTCCATTCTCGTCACTGGGGCGAATACTTCGTCATAGTCTATTCCTTCTTTCTGCTTGTACCCCTTCACTACGAGTCGAGCTTTATATCGCTCAACTTCTCCTTCAGCATTTGTCTTCTTCTTGTACACCCACTTTACGCCGATAGGTCGTGCTCCTTTGGGCAAATCGGCTAGCTCCCATGTGTTGTTGCGTTCTATTGCTCCGATCTCCTCGTCCATTGTCTTTCTCCACCTTTTCTCCCGCACGGCCTCTTCAAAACTTAAGTCTTCGAATCCGCCAAGAGACATACAACATGCACTTCGTCGCTGGAGTTGTATATATCTTGTAAACTTCGCGCTCTGGGCTGTAGAGGTTCATCTTCTTCATCAGAAGTCTCATGATCTCTCACAGTATGTGGTGTATCAACTTCCGAGCTTCTACTTCCTATGGACTCCTTCTCTGGGTTGTTCCAACTCCAATCACTTTCTTCATCAATTTGAACATCTCGGCTCATGATGACCTTCTTAGTTATTGGGTTAAACAACATGTACGCCTTGGTTTTTTCATCATACCCAATAAACACGTACTTTTTACTTCTATCTTCGAGCTTGATCCTCTGTTGAGTTGGAATATGACCATAAGCTATGCTACCGAACACTTTAAGGTGAGACACACTCGGTTTTCTTCCACTCCAAACTTCTTGCGGTGTCTTCTCGTTCAACTTAGCATGTGGACATCTATTTTGCACATAGATGGCACATTGCACCGCTTCGCCCGTAACTCCTTTGGCACGTTTTTGCTTCTCAACATTGTTCGAACCATGTCAAGAATGGTTCGATTCTTCCTCTCGGCAACTCCGTTTTGTCGGGGTGAGTATGGTGCTCGTCGAAATCTCCTTATCCCTTGCTCCTCGCAATACTTCATGAGTTCGGATGAAATGAACTCGCCTCCTCGATCAGACCTAACAGATTTAATAGGCATGTCAGTCTCTTTCTCAACCATTGCTTTAAATCTCTTGAACACCTTAAACACCTCGGATTTCTCCTTCAAAAAATATACCCGAGTTTTTCTTGAAAAATCATCTATAAAAGAAATGAAATACCTTTTCCCACCGAAGGACTCGGGGTAATCGGTCCACAAATATTTGTGTGAATCAATCCGAGTTGTTCCTTTGCACTGCACTCGCCGTCCTCGGAAATGAGGTCCTCTGATGCTTCCCGAGCACACACTCTTCACATAATTTCTTTTCAAATTTCATAGACGGAGTCCTCGCACCATCTCTTTCTTTACCAACTCGGTCAGTCCGCCAAAATGCAAGTGGCCAAATCGAAAGTGCCACATCATTGCTTCATCCTTCACGTCAAGTTTCAAACACCTCTCTTGGACTATCTTCAAGTTCAACTTGTACATTCTCGTTCTTCTTCATTTCTACTCGGCAATCAAACGATCCGACTTGTCCTTCGTGTATAGTACTCGGCTCTTTCATCGAACCGAGTAGCCTTTCTCCATCAACTGACCCATACTCAATATGTTGCTTTTGAGATCGGGTACATAGTACACGTCTCCGATTTCTCCAACTCTGCTTATTCTTCCGCAGGTACCGATTGTACCTCTGCTTTTACCGCCACCTTTGATGCATCTCCAAATGACACGTGTCCGACCTCAACTTTAGTGAGCTCCTTAAAAAGGTTTTCGTCCCCGCACATGTGGTTACTTGCTCCTGTATCAAGATACCAAATCGAGTTGTCAGAACAGCTCGGACTTAGCTCGACATCCGAACTTCTTGACATCATCAATACTCCTTCTTCCTCAGTGTCCTCAGAGAGGAGGTTTGTCTCCTTCTTCCTCTCAGATCGGCAGTCCTTCGCGAAATGCCCAACCTTCCCACAATTATAACATTTGATACCTGAATAACAGTCTTTAGCAAAATGACCGTACTTCCCACATTTGAAACATTCAACTCCGGAATTGCTTGACTGACCACCTCGGCCTTTACCGTCACGACTTCTACCTTGTCTTCGGCCACGCCAGTTTTGTTGACTGACTGACTCCTTGCCTCTTTCATATTCTCCTCTGCCTCTACTACCTCGACCTTGAGTGTTCTGAGCATAAGGAACCTTCTTCTCCTTTAAGGTTGCCTTTGCTTGGAGTGCTTGATCAAGGGACTCCTCTTTCTTCTTCCTTCTCCGCTGCTCATGCGCTTCAAGCGACCCGGAAAACTCTTCCACCGAGAGCGCCGACAAGTCCTTAGACTCTTCTATTGCACAAACGATATTCTCAAAATCGTCAGTTAGCGACCTTAAGATTTTCTCCACCACTCGGCAAGTGGGCAGCGTCTCTCCATTTCTTCCGAGTTGATTCACCACGGTCTCAACACGGGAGATGTACTCGGCAACCCCTTCGACCTCTTTCATCCTCATGTTTTCAAGCTCGCCTCTAAGAGTTTGAAGCCTGACTTGCTTCACACGATTATCCCCTTTATATGCCTTCTCCAGAATATCTCACGCTTCTTTTGAAGATTTAACATTTGCTATCTTCTCAAAGCTGGACTCATCAACAGCTCGGTACAGTACGTACAAAGCCGTTTTGTCCTTTACTCGTGTTGCTCTCAATGCAGCAAGCTGAGCAATCGTCTGCTCTTCAATATTCTCTGGTTCTTGGTGCCCATTTTCGATCACATCCCATACTTCTTGGGAACCAAGGAGAGCCTTCATTTGCAGGCTCCAGTTATCATAGCTTACGCCTTTTGATAACTTTGGTAGGGGCATGCTGTTAGCTAAGTTGGTCATCTCAAACAAACTCTCTAACTCTCAAACACTCTCTCTAACGCACTCAGACACTCAGGCTCTCAAGCTCTGATGCCAATTTGTAAACAAACAAGTATCTAAATAAAACACTCTGTATATTATCACTTGATATATTTGCAATGAGTGATGCATGGTCAATTTATAGGCCCTTTGGATATGACCTCTCAACTACATGCATTTAATACAACTACTACCTTTCAACTACATACATTCAATACAACAACTACCTCTCAACTACTACCTCTATAACCACTACCTCTCAACTACATGCATTTAATGTTTACCTAACAGTTTTGGTCGAATTATCTTTCAATAATTTTTCATTAGTTAGTAGAAAAAATCCATCCAATAATTCAATTCTTTCCCCGGCAGCAACTCATTACTAGGGAAAATAACCCATTGATATGCAGTTAGAGTATATTGATGACAGCCATAACCAAATTAGTTATTCATTTCCCTGTTGGTTGGGAACAAGGTGTCGTACTGTTGGAGATTTGCAAGGAGATAACATAGAAATATTTTTAGAAATGGGACATAAAGTTAAGTCTTTAAGTTATAGGTCTTTTTTATTTATAAATTATTCAATTTTTTTTTTTTACTTAATATGAGATTTCTACTTAAGGCTTTCACTAAACCCCAAATGCACATCATTGATTTTTCTCTCAATCAGTTCTCAGAGGTTTGCCTCTAGAAACAATCCATAATTGGAAATCCATGAAGGTTTCAAGTGACAGTTACGAGCAACATTATGTGGTCCATTTGGGACATGCCATTTGGAACAGAGATGCTTATTCTTTTACCAATTTTAACAAAGGGATGACCATGTTTTATCTAAATCTTCAAAAATTTTACTACCTGATAATGATTGATCTTTCAAGCAATAAATTCTGTGGGGGAGATTTCATATATCATGAGAGAGAGTTAACAGACTTTGTTTTGCTCAACTTGAACAACATGTTTAGTGTAAACATTTCTTCTTACGTTCGAACAACATGTTCAGTAAAAACATTAAAGAATGCTTTCACTGTTGTTGGATAGGTTGAGCAAAACAGGCTTGCAAGTCTCCGATGACATCCGGAATCTCTCCATCCGCATAGAATTTATTACTTGAACCATTGATTGCTTTTGCTATCAAGTAGTAAAACTCTTGGAGCTTTGCATATCCATGACCATCCCTTTGCTAAACCTCCTGTATGAATGAATATACATGATAATTCAACATAATACCAAACCTTCGAAACAGCACATGGGTCTCATATAATACTCAAAAAGTAATTGGATCTTGATGGAATCTTTCATGCATTCCAGTTTTGGTTTTGGATTGTTTCAGAGGGAAAATTTCCATAGAACTAATTATGAGAAAGATCAATGATATGCAGTTGGGGAAAAGTACTTTTTATAGGGTACCTTATAGATCCATACAAATTATTATCACCCATAGCAACAACCTGAAGCTCTGGAAGGGTTCCCTAACTAGTAGAGAAATGAATCATTAATTTGGTTATGACTGATATCAATAAACTGAATCATTCTAAGATCACCTTTTATCATATATCTCTGAGAAGTGGGGCCAAACAATCTGTTTCCTTCTAGCACCAACTGTATAGAGATTGGATAGAACTTCCAAAACATGATGGAACGATGCCGCTTAAGTTGTTGAAAGACAAATCAAGATGTACAAGAGATTTATCAGCGGGGATATTTTTCCTTCCAACAAGGTGTAGGAAACACTCAAGTACCGAAGACTTGTTTTTTCCGACATAAATCTCTTCATGATAATGATTTTACTTTGCTTTTTCCATATTCCCTAGGAGCTTGATGCTCTGGTTACCTTGGATTCCGTATTCTCTTTTTTTTTTTTTTTGGTATTAGATTGTGTTTCTTTTTATAATGTTCGATTATGCACACACAAGGACTCGTTATTTGCTTGGATTGTTTCATAAAAATAATATTCATATGTTTACAGGTTTGTTAATTTTTGAAGCAAGTATATCTTACTTTTTTATTGCGAGTATGAGGTGAATCTCAGTTGTTAGATACTCGAGACTTGTGGAGAGAGCATGCATGGTGAAGGCTAGAGGGAACGGAGGAATCAGGAAGGTAATATAAAATAATCAAATTATATCAAATATTTTAATTGAGATGTATATACAATCTTATGATGATATTTGATATGCTCGTAAAACAGAGTATAAATGCTTATTTGACCTAGTCATAATCCAATCTAATTAGGGAAAGAAATCATGATAATTTGTTTTTATACTAATTTAACTGGTCATAATCTTGTCTAAAAGTCCCGTGCAATTATTCCCAAAGTGATGAACTATGGAATCCTTAGAATTTTGGTGCAGTAGGGTAGTCAAATAGCTAGATTTTGGCAATTTGTAAACCACATTTTTGTCAATTTCGTGTCTATTATTCCAGTTCTGTAACCATGCTTAAATTCAGGATATTAACTTGTTTTTTGTTGTGATTTTATTCAAACCATTTCCTTACTTGTATATGGGTCAAACTATACATAATAAGTGCAAGTGACATGAATTTGGATGCATTTTCTGCATAATTCTGCAGACTAGTACATCGACGGTTTAAGTCAGCTTAAACGTGTTTTTAATAAGCCAAACAAGTTTGAATTGATGTATTATAATTGTAGACTATCCATACAAAATTTGGTATGCAAAGCAATTTGGCATGTTTTGACTCTTGCACGAGCTATTTGTCTGGCCTGAATAGTGATGGTAGACTATGAATCCAACAAATCTAGGATCATCCATTTATATTATACATATTTTCATGCAATTTCTTTTAACAGACCATGCTCATCTTGTGAGCCAAACTTTGTTTACCTTATAATTTTTCAACATGTTTTACCTTTATATTTAATTGGAATACTAGTTGGTTCTTTTTTCATTCCTGATTTTCTTATATTAAAAAGATAGCTTTTATTTACTTTTCTTCCTTCATCCACTAAATCATGACGGTAGCTTCAAACTCCAAAACTCCATAACAGAGAATACGAGTATGATTAAAAATCATAACTTACGAGAATTTTGTTTGTTTATATATGTGCCACTTCACTTCTACAGAACATAAAGAAGCCAACCGCTAAGCATAGAACAATAAACACACTCTTGCACCTAAATGCAATTATAATAACTGAAAAGTAAAGCACATATCTCATAATTGAAAGAGCTTTTCAATGCCATGCTCAATCTTCACATTCTTACTTAATCTGGGACTTAACACACTTAGATTACTCAACAATTTCCCCCTCAAGTGTAAATTCCCACGAATGAGCTCACTAGTGGTCCTCACTTGTTGGGTTTTTCGACGGGGATTTACCGGGGAGAACAACACCAATGAGACATGAGCCAAATCCTTATAAAGATTGACATCACTCTCAATCCAAAATCTTAAGATATTAGGTTAGGGTCTTACTTCTTTATAATAACTGATAAGTAAAACACATATCTCATGATTGAAAGAGCTTTCCAATGCCATGCTCAATCTTCTCATTCTTACTCAATGTGGGACTTAACTCACACTTAGATTACTCAACAATTTCCCCCTCAAGTGTAAATTCTCACGAATGAGCTTACTAGTGGTCCTCACTTGTTGGATTTTTCGAGGAGGATTTACTGGGGAGAACAACACCAATGAGACATGAGTCAAATCCATATAAGGATTGACACCACTCTCAACCCAAAACCTTAAGGCCATATAAGGATTGACACCACTCTCAACCCAAAACCTTAAGGCGTTAGGTTAGGGTCTTACTTCTTTATAATATCTGATAAGTAAAGCACATATCTCATGATTGAAAGAGCTTTCCAATGCCATGCTCAATCTTCTCATTCTTACTCAATGTGGGACTTAACTCACACTTAGATTACTCAACAATTTCCCCCTGAAGTGTAAATTCTCACGAATGAGCTCACTAGTGGTCTCACTTGTTGGGTTTTTCGAAGAGGATTTACTGGGGAAAACAACACCAATGAGACATGAGCCAAATCCATATAAGGATTGACACCACTCTCAACCCAAAACCTTAAGACATTAGGTTAGGGTCTTACTTCTTTATATGTTACTCAACTTTCTCATTCTTACTTAATGTGGGACTTAACTCACACTTGATTTACTCAACAGGAGCAAATAGAGACCCTCCATCATACTCACATTTACTGACTAATGGATTGACACACAATTCTTGGTTACCCTCAAATGAACTATGCGGGAATGTAGCAAACTGCTTATTTTGAGGTATATGACCTGAGATGTTGTTAATGGACACATTAAAGTGTGAAAGAAAGAAAGGTCGGTTCTTGCAACTATAGGTTCCCTAATAAACTATTTAGAGAAAGGTCCAAAACTTCAAGGTTTGAAAGCTTCCCTAAAGAAGGAATGCTGCCAAATAGCATGTTGTTTGAAAGGTTGAGCAAAACAAGAGCCTTCATTGATTTGCAATTCTGGATTGCTTTTGAAGACAAACTTCCAGACAACTGATTACGGGAAAGATCAATGATATGCAGTTTGGGAAATGTGAATGTTGTAGGGCACCTTATGGATCCATACAAATGATTATTAAGTAAAGCAACAACTTTCAGCTCAGGAAGAGTTCTCAACCAGCAGGGAAATGAATCATTAATTTGGTTATCGCTGACATCAATATACTCTAGCATTCTCATGTTTAGCAGTGCCCTTGGCAATTGACTCTGCAGACTGTTATCGCTCAAATCTATCATTCTTAGATCACTTGTTGTCGAATATGTCTCATGAATGGGGCCAGTCAATTTATTTCCTTTTAGCACCAAAATTTACAGTGGTCGACTGGAACTTCCCAAACATGAGGGAACTGCGCCGCTTAAGTTGTTAAATGATAAGTCCAGAAGCATAAGAGATTTCAAATTGCATATCTGTGGAGATATTTTTCCTATCAATGGGCTGTGGGAAACAATTACGCTCCGAAAACTTATCTTTCGCCACATCCAGCTAGGGATTGAACTGACATTATTGTATGGCATATAAATGTATGATGGCTCAGCCAAGTCCCGGAGACAATGTGGAAACTCATACTAATTGCATGAACCCAAACCTAACCCTTGAATTTGTGAGAGACTTGCATTGGAAGGATTTTTCCCGCCAACTAACGGCAATTCATTGAAACATGATTCAACCAAAAACGAGCTTTTTTAGCTTTAGAAACTTGTCCAGCTCTAATTCTCCCTCCAACAGATTACCGATCACAGAAAGAGTCTCTAGGTTCCCAAGTTTGAAGAGAGCTTGGAATTTCACCCTTGAGTTAGAAACGTAAGCAGAGTGAGGTTTCCAAATGAAGAAGGAATATACCCTGAAAAATTGGAATATGATATTGGTAACCAATTCAATGAATTGAGATTTCCAATGGATGTAGGAAGTATACCCTTGAAAATTGTGGAATCGAGTTTTAACGTTGTAATTTGTGCTATTGAATGAAAATCAGGAAATTTACCAGTGAGGTTTTGGTTATTTCCTAAATTTAAATATCTCAAGTTTGGAAGATGGAATATTCTAGCTGGAAATTCCCAATATAGTTCACAATTGTAAAGAGAGACTTGTTGCAAAGATGTAACATTTGTGAATATATCAGGTACGGAAGAGGAAATGGTTACATAATCAACTCGAAAAACTTCAAGATTAGTTCAGTTTTGAATTAAGCTTCTCAGAGTAGATATTTTCAACTCAGAAGATTGACTGGAACTAGAGAATCAAATGCACTACATAGATCAAGCGAAAGTAACTTAGACAAATGTGAAACTTGTTGTGGGATTTCACCAGAAAAATAGGTTTGAGAAAGGTTCAGATACCTTAATTGTGAAAGCTCACCAATCCGAGATGGATTTGAGAGTAATTGAAATGATTATCAGCAAGATCAAGGCTTGGAAGGTGTTTGAGGGGAAAAAGGCTATTCTTTGCATCCATTGTACCATAGATGTGGCTGCTACCATGATCAATGCTAATCACATGATCTATAAGTTCATCACATTCAATTTCATCCCATGAGCAGCAATAAGTGATTGCATTTCAAGATAAGGATTATAAGACGAGGACTTACAGATAACAAACCTTTACTTAAATTGAAACAGGGACGACTTTCATGTTGAGAGTAAGTGTGTTGAGAGAGTAAAAGACCAATCCATTGCATCTTTTACTAAATTATAAGCTGAAATGTTCTCATAAGAAGTGAGATGAAGTAAGTGCTTTATATGCTCAATTAATCTAATGTGTCCCGCAATCATTGACCTTTTCTGAAAAATGAAAATGTTCAATGAGACAACGCGCATTGTGGGTCAACAAAAAGAAAACACAGTATAAGAAAAAGAACATAAAACTATGGGTGACGCCAGGAGCTGATGCACACAATGGCTACGTGACAATTGTTTCCACTAGACAATTTATTTCATTGGAACACGTTTGATAATTTTCTTACCCACAGTGCCGGGCGTTTTTTCCACAGGAGAATTTTTTATTCGGTCATGATCTTACTTCATTACTATTTTATAATTATAAATTAAATCATTATCAAAATTTATAAAATTAGAAACATGCTTGAAAATCCTTGAATAAAAAAAAAGTCTACAAAAAGCTAGTTATATTCAAGTCAGTATGCATAAGGGTAAAATCTTAACACTACAAAAGTCCAATAAGATCCACGCAAAATGTATTGCAAGTAATTAAGCAGTTTTTAAAAACAAGGTAAAATTGTTTCAAAATCAACCAAGCATTTTACAGTAAGAGCTGAAAAGTCGCCTACATAATCCTCAAAGTAATTTTTATACCGCAAATTTAAGTTTATAAGTTTTAAACTGAAAATATATAGATTCACAATATAATAGAAGATATCAAGTGAAAAATCCAAAAATATAGTACAATCCTAAACCAAATTCGAGTAAAAACAAAAGAAAGAGATACATAGATCCAGCTAGCAAGTTTATTGCATAGAAATATTTACTGTAAGAGTCACAACATACAAAATGAATGTTAACACTTTAAAACTGAACATATTTCAAAGAAATTTGACTAGAAAAATCTTCCTTCCATATTACAGAAGATCTTATCAGCATAAGATTAATTTTTTTTTTTCTCAATCTTCTGAACAGTGGGTTGTATAGTGTCTACAAATGACAACTCGGATGGAGAATGCAGAACGTAAACAAATTATCCCAACGGAGATACAAACTATAACAAGCAATCCGACTAAAATATGAAGACCACACTGTCATGAACTCTGGACTTTTGATTCTGAGCGACACATTCTGAAATCCACATTAAGTTCCTGATCTCCTGCTCCCTTAACCTCATATATGCGAAGAACACAGCATAATGAAACTGCAATATCGACAAAATAGAGCGGCTTACTAATGTCATTAAAATATTTAACTAATTCACCACAACACTGTCTGGTTCAAAGGAAGAGAGGGGAAGGAATGGGTTTTAATGGAGAGGAGAGGGGGCGGAAAGATGGATTTTAATTAGACATTCTGTTTGGTTGAGAGCAGAGGAGGGAGGGGTATATTAGTGGAGAAGGGAGGTAGCCTTTTTCTGGTTTCGATCACAAGGAGAGGGAAGAAGTTTTAAAATTTAATTTAATTTAAGCAAGTTCGGACAAATTTCTTCATAAAAATTTCTATAAGAGCAAAATAAAAGAAAAATAAAAATGAAATGAACTTCTTAATAAGCTAAAACTAACTTATGCACAAGTTAATTTTTTTTTTATCGAAGTTATATGAGAGTTTCTACAAATTAGCTTGCACATAAACTAAGTCTAATTTATGGAGAATCTCATTTCATTTTTTCTTTTTTATTTTTATCTTGTAAAATTCTTAATGAAAAAGTTTGTCCAACCAGACCCTTTTGTATCTTATAATTTTTAATTTCAAAACATAAGTAGAGATATTTTAACCATTATACTTGAAATGTTTTAAATATCCTCCCCTCCACTCTAAAGTCTATGTTGGCGGATAGAAAATTTATGAGGAGGGATTTTGTTCCTCTCCCCTCTTAAAAATTAAACCAAACAACAAAAGTTTGTATAAACCCTTCCCTCCACATTTACCCCGGACCAAACACAATGTGCATGAGCTAAAACATTATGATACTCAGAATTGTATAATAAACCTGTTGTTCAAACGCCAAGCAAAGCCTTTTGACCTCCTCCTCATAGAATGCCTTGTCAAGCATCTGACTCTCTCCATATGATAGCTTAGCAAAAATAGATTGATAGGGAGGATATTTTTCCATAACAGCACGAACCTACATGAGCAACCAGATAACAAATTTCAGGCACAAAAAACATTATTAAAAGAAATCAGCTAGAAATATGCAGACACTATTAATGCTTTGATGGTTGACCGTTTCAGGATAGATTCCAACAGAAAAGGATACAGAACTACTCATATAAACAAGAACCTCCGGAAATTGGTAGCCAAAAAGCAAGTAGGCAATTGCAAATTACAAATGGACTAAAAAGCAAAAAAATCACACCCGCCTAGATAATAGAAGGTGCTCAAAAAAGGAAGCTTCATACTGACATCTCAGAAAAACATCTGCCTGTATCCATCAAAGACTCATGGGACAATTTCCCAACGTCCTTATATTGCTTAATCCATACAACAATGTTTAAACCAAAGACAACAAAAATCATTAAAAATATCTTATTACAAATGCATCATTTTATAAAAACAACCAATATCAAAACTAGCAGTAAATTTCTCTAACTTGGCTATCAATAAACACAAATCAACTACCCTGAGAAATACAATCTATCATGGCCAAGCAAAGTACAAATTGAAGGATGTAAAACACATTCTACATACCGATTTAACAACCTAAAACACCAGTGTCTTACATGTAAATCATACATACCTGATCAATATCCTCGCATATAGCAAGTTCCTCATGACCATATGGGTATCTGTGTAAAATAAGTCAGTCATTACCAGAAGAATCATGCCAAAGCAGTATACAAACATTACTAATTCTAAATATGTATATGTGTGTGTGTGTGTGTGTGTGTGTATATATATATATATATATATATATATATATATAGAGAGAGAGAGAGAGAGAGAGAGAGAGAGCTGAGGGTTAAAAGCTTACAGCAAACCAAAATTAGAGTACAATTTTCTACGGTCATCTCTGGTAAGCTCAGTACCAATGCTGCACAGAGTAAAAACCATGGAAGCCAGTTATACAAGTATCCAGATAAACAAAAAGGCAATAGAAAATCATTTTACTTTTCATATACCTATTTATGGTAATATTCACAGCCCTTCTATCAGCCTCAAAAGCTAGAAGGTCAGACATAATCTCAGCTGTGGCACCACCAAGTTTCTGCTTAGGAATAACATTAAATTGATGAAAACCAGAGAACAAGAAAAAATTGTGATAAGAGAGTACATATATATCTAGTGGACAACAAAGAGCCTCAGACCCTTCACCTGGCAAAATCTGTAGAAGTCTTCGAGGTATGCCTTGTAAAGAGTGTTCCTCATTATTTCGATGTTCATATCATCTAAGTCCTAGAGACATAAAGAATATAACAACAACATATTATATCAACATATATCTAACAAATAAACCAGTACCACGGAAAGATACAATGTTTACATTACATAAACTATAAAGCAACAAAGATATAACCCAGAAAAGTTTGTGTGGGAAAGTAATCCTCATTAGGAAACTAACACCTTGTTGCCATTAGATTCTCAATATTTTTGTATGATTGTATAGCAGATTGTTTGAAATTCTTATCACCACAATCTATTTGATATACATCAGGAGATGCAGATATAGATTATTTGCAGTTTCTGCAATAGTACTAACTACTAAAATCCTTTAACACAGTATCAATCAAACATATCAATTAAACAAAATAAAAGGTGATAAATTGAAAAGATGGTTAACCTCTGATGTAATGCACTCAGAGAAGTAAGGAGCTAGAGGAGTGTCAACAAGAACCAGCCTGTAAAGCTCACGCATGTTCTGAGCAACAGCCAGAGTAGCAATACTGCAGAGTACCAACAGAAAGTGAAAGAAAAATTAAAAGCCTAACTGCTTACAGTCAACGTATTGTAAACTACATAGAATTTACTTACCTGTCAAACATGCCGAGTGGATGGCATTTTTCTAGTAATTCTTGAACATCTCTCTCATGCAAGGTGCCAGTAACAATCAAAACAACATTGTCTATCATGTGACCATATCTGCGGGAATAAAACAGAAAGTTTATCAGTTAAGGGCTGCACAAGACTCATCAGCCAGAGCAAATTCTGATTTGAATTCAACTTTTACACAGGAGACAGAACTAATGGCCATACTAGTAGGCTGACTTGCTTGAATGTTTAAAATTTTAGTCTGCTCTAGCTCTACATAATATACTCAATATAACGATGACATTGACAGAGTAAATCAATAAATACAAATAGAGACCAAACAGAAGAGGCAAGATCGCATACGTGATATACTCTAAAAAGGTTGACAAGGGTTCTGTGGCTTGGCATAGCATGTTCTTGTAATCATCAACCAGCTTAAGAGTGCACTTCTCCACAATCGTGGTGGTATGCAATGGGGAAGGTTCTGCAATAGTAACTCATCATCCGTCAACATAGATCAATAATCAAAATTATATTTTGCCAACTAGTAAACAGCATTGTGCTAATACAAAAGCAACAAAATCTATAACTTTTTTTTTAATTCAATAATTAAATAATTTATTTACGCAGGAAGCAACAGAAAAACCAAAAAGAAATTCTTTGAAAAGCTTCATTCAAATTCAATTCCAAAAGAAAAAAAATTGAGCATAACCCATAATAACAGGAGTCAACTTTGAAGGTCGGTTAACTCCGGGAAAAATATAACACAGGAAATAAAGATGATAACACTTTTTTGGTTTCTTGCAAGTATTCTTCTTCCATAGAAGGAAATCCTACTCAAGACACAATCAGCCACTAAATGTAACAACTCTCGAATTCCCATTCGAGGAAATCGTGTTTGAGCACCATCGAGTAGTAAATGTGACACCATCGTGTTTAGCCCCTCTGCTAAACCCAAGCACATTGGAGGATCACACAGAGGTTCAAAAAACGAATATAATCATGAAGTAACAGCTCGAAAATTAAACGAAAAACCTAGATCACAAGCTCTGATGAATCTCCAAGTACTTGATTCGGTTCACTACATAATATCTTCAGAAAATTTTGAGAAACGCTCCTTATCACATATGCACTTCAAATCCACACACGTGTCGAACAAAGTTATCGTGATATCGTACAAGCATTCACTTGCAGGAAAGCAGGGATGAGACTCTCAAAACGAAAACACGAAATCACAAGGACACTAATACCACGAAAAGAATCCTGGTTTTCATCTTCGAAAATAACACAGTCTAATTACAAACAATTGTCCACCAAACAAATAAATAATGATAAATTGAGATTGGTGATGGATGAGGGAGCAAGCGTGAATTGGAGAAAACGCACCGTTTTGGAGATAAGGGCCGTACTCGGTGGCGGAGAGGTGCATCTTGATGTCGTCGAGGGTTTCGCATTGGCAGAGGTTGTTGTAATCGGCGGTAGTGAGAAGGCCAGCGCGGTGGCCGCGGACGATGGCCTCCAGAAAGCCGCCGTGGATGTTGAAAGTGAGAGCTTCGAATCCGTACATTTCGGATCGGATCTACTGCGGGTCGCGGATCTCGAATTAGTTGGAGGAAAGGGAACCAGAAGAATGATGAGAACCTCCTCCTTAGGGGATTTTCTGCACGAAGATGAATGAATAATAATTCTGAGCAACACAAACAAACAAATTGTATTCACTCTTTTTTTATTTAATTAATTAATGCTTTTTTTTCCTACATATATTTAATTAATGTTTGAGCAGTGTGTTTCGCTATTTTATTATCATTGAAAAAATAGATTGTGAAAAGTTACAGAAACATGTTTCCTTTTTCAATCCATTTTAATACAGTACAATACATTTATTTCATTTAAAATATCATACATTATAACATATAACAGTATAAATCATATATCAAAACAAATAAATCGAATACATTATTTTAAAAGTTCAACCAATTATCAAAAATAAAAATTAGAAAAAATGTTATTTTAGGCAATCGAACTTTTAAATTTATCATTTTTATGAGATCATGATTTGATCGATTCTATCTAAATTTGATTAAAATTCAATTCTTGATTTAACTAATTTACTATATTAATCTGATACAGTTTTGATTAAATTTTATTTTATTTTTTAATTATATTTAAATACTATGATACTATGTGTTTAATTAATTTTAAAACCGTATAGAGTCTTTAATCTCTAAAAGTTTTATTTAACATAAATTTTATTTGGTTGATACAATAAAAAACTGTATTAAGAATGCATGAATTTTAAATTTATTTTTTAATAATAATATTATCATATTAAGAATAAGTAAGTGTTTAATGAATTTGTAACTTTTTGTAATAACTGTCATAAACTTATATCAGTAATAATTTCTAATTAAAAGATAATGTAAACAAAATTATAGAGTAAATAGTTATAAAATTAATTTTATAATGATTATTTTGAAAATATGTTTGCACTATTTTTTATTGGTATAATTGACACTATATTAAATAAATTTGATTGTTTAAAAATTGGCAAATTAAAACATAAACGAGGTGAACTCTACTTTTTTTATCCCTAAGACATATATATAACCATGTTCGGTAACATTTTTGATAACTTGAACAAAAAAGTTACAAGAGTGTTAAAAAAAATACAAGATTCCGAAAGAAGCCAACATTTGAAGACAATAAATAAACTAAAAATAAATTAACATTTAAAAAAACCTAAAATAAACACTCCATTAAAGTAATGCATTTGAGAGATTGAACTTCAAAGGGATGAAACAAAGTAAGTGCAATGGACACTGCAACCTTATCCCTATGCCAATGGCCTATTTTTTCTTCCTCTCCTTCTTCTTTGCGTATGCATGTGAGAGTTTTATGCAGAATCCCTCACCTTTCAGCATCCACAGTTGACAAAACTCTCAGCCAGATTAACAATTCTGGTATCGTAGCTTGCCTCAGGGCTAACAGGTCCCTTTTTCTTCTATGCTTCTATCTATTTATCATTTTTATGGAACAGTTACAAAAAAATGTCAGTGGTCTGGTTCTTTTTTTAATCAATATTGGTTATGTTTTATTTTCTTATCCTTCAGTATAGCTTTGTCTTTGATGGGGATAACTTGGGCAACATCTTCTGGGAGTTAGCAAATTGCCGTAAAAAGTATGCTTTTTAGATGCTTCCAAGCAGAAGGGGCTTTCCACTCTAATTTTGTTGTTGGGAATATTTTTTCTCAGAGGAGACTTTGTTAATGTTGAAAAAGGAGAAAACTTTGTTTCTAAGATTTCAAGGATAGGGTCGTGGTTATTTTGGTGGTGTCAAACATGAGGTAGGGATGACCTACTTGTTATAGATGAAGTTTGGGCATATGGTGTCTATGAATAGGAGCTTGTTACCATAAAAGTTGAAGGAGGATTATTTTAGTAAATATATATAGAGGATAAAAAAATATTCTTTTTATACTTCCTTTGTGTTTTGCACATTTTGGCTGAGTAGGTTAATTGTACTAAATGTATTATGTTCATTGTGACTGAATTCAATCTTTTATGTGCTAATTCTCCCTTGGCACAACCATAGTGAATTGTATTGGATGCATGTTTATGCTGGCTTACCTGTTATTTTTCACTTGTGTATAGTGCAGAAGTGGCCATGAAAGCCGCAAATGCTGCAATAGCAGGTGGAGTTTCTGTTGTAAGTTTACTTTTGACGTTCTTTTTATTTTGTGTTATTATTAAAAATGGAAAGATAGCTAACTAGACCTTACAAAACCAATTTAATAAGATGAAGATTATACTCATACATATACTGCAATGTTATCATATTTTTAGTCAATGAGGAATTTCATTATACCTCCTCACTTCAAGAAAAAATTTTCATCACATCCTCTCACATCGAGAGGGATCTATTCATCACACCCCTTCACCTTAAGGAGACTTTTCATCACAACTCTTCATCTTCAGGGGATTTTTTTATCATCACACCCTCTCACCTCGAGAGGAGATTTTTCTATAGTCTTAATTATGTTAGAGTTGATTTTGATACTATCTTAGAAATTAAGAGGTACTTAACTCACAAAAAGCACATGACCTAACTCTTATTCAAAGTCGCGGGTCTTGAGCATAACACGTAAGGAATGGTCCGAAAGTCCACAATCATTAGCATTTTAGGTTCAAGTCCTTGGTAGGGGTTGCTATTGAGCACATAATTTGTGTAGTTCGCCAAAACAACATCGTCAAAGCGTCAAATTGTCCAAGGAGCATGCCCATAAGGATAAACTCAATTAAATTCATCAAACACATGCATAACCTTATAAGCAAAAGCAAGAGCTGGTCCGGATAGTTTAGGAGGCATTCGATATGGAACCTCAAATGTATGTGACTTCTCAACGAGTTACACAAGCTCGCTTTTAATAGTAATGATCCCAAACTATGTTTGGGAACCCAAAACACCAACTGGAAGTACTTGAAACTTCAAGGTGGACACAATCTTGAGCTCATTCAAAATGGAAGAAAGAAGAGGGACCATAAAAGGGATGATCCCATTGCTAGAAGGAAAGTCTTCATCGATATGAATCTTCAATATTTCTGAAAAGTTGAATTGATCCTTGGTCAATGTGACCTTAGGACCACAGCCAAGCATGGTCTTGTTAGGACGAGCGAGACCCATCCACAATGCTAGTCGACATTATTTCGTTTGGTAGATCCCACAAGTGACCACCATCGGCTGAGAGATCAACATATTGAAACTTTAGTTTCTTCTATTCTAACTGAACTTAAGGTTATGTCCATCTTGAAACTTTAAGTACTTTCAGTTGGCGTTTTGGGTTCCCAGGCACAACTTGGGATCGTTATTATTGAAAGCGAACTTGTGCTACTCGCTGAGAAGTCGTGAGGCTCCATGTAGGATGCCTCCTAAATTGTGTGGGCTGGCTTTTTGCTTATAGGGTTATGTTTGCACTTGATGAATTTAATTGAATTGATCCTTATGCACGTGCTCCATGGACAATTTGGTGTTGTAGTAATGTTGTTATGACAGATTATATAGGTTATGTTCTTAATGGAAACTGTTACCTAGGACTTGAGCTTGAAATGCTAATGATTGTGGAATTTCAAACTACTCACTATTTGTAGCGCTCAAGACTTGATGCTTTTAAGGCCGTTCTATATAAGAGTTAGGTCGGGCATCTTCTATGAGTTAGGTATCTCTTAATTTCTAGGATGATATCAAAGTCAACTTTAGCGATGTTGAGACTATTGAAAAAATCTCTCTCGAGGTGAGAGGGCTTGATGAAAAAAAAAATTCCTCTCAAGGTGAGGAGATATGATGAAAAAAAATCCCCTTGAGGTAAGAGGGTATGATGAAAAAATCTCCTTTGAAGTGATGAGATGTGATGAAATCCCATATCAACTGGAGATAACAATAACATTGTAGTATGTAAATGAGTATAATACTTACCTTATTGAGCTGGTTTTGTAAGATTGAGTTAAATATCTCTCCATTTCTAATAGTTATCAATTTCATTTTAATAAAGAAAACTAAAAGGACATTTATATGGACTTGTTATGTCTAAGTTTTGAAATTGATCCTACTAGTTGAATCAGTTTAAATGCTTTTGGGCCATACACAGGGAGAGTTACTCAAGCTTTGTGACATTTGAAAAGATGTGATGTACTCAACCATATTTGTTAATGATGTGTTTCTCATCATCTATTTTATTTTTAAACGTAGTTGGAGATTGTGGTGTCGACTCCAGGTGTGTTTGAGGTTGTTTACCTTAATTTTTCTACTTCCTCACTTGTTTTGTTCTTACACTGAGAATTCATACGCTTCTGGTCTGTGTAGGTTCTACATCAGCTTGTGAAGGAGCATCCTACAGTGGCCCTTGGGGTATGCTTTCACCCTTAAACTTTCTTTCTAGTTTCTCACATGGTATATATGTTCTTTGTTTGAGTGTACATCACTTGAACCTGCCCAAAGCTAATGAATCTGAAGAACATGTCATTGTCATTGCATCCTCTCATTTCATTGAATTTTAAGATTGTATAGCATTATCGCCCATTGGACTTGCTTATTGGTATGTAAATGATAATTATCATCAAGAACTGCATGCTAATCCTCACTCTAGGATTTTTTTCTTCTCTTTGTGAATTTTACTTAGCTATCATACAGAGAATAATTATTTATTATGTGGATTATTTCGAACATTATCACAATGCCTTGTAGAATTCTTGAATATATATATATATATATATATATATATATATATAAAGTTGATACATTTGAAATTGTTCTAGTGTTGAATGTGTTATTCATGTGGGTAAGTACCTCTCCATGAATCATCAGTTAAGAGGAGTGTCCAATTTAGTCCTATCATCAGTTAAGAGGATGTTCTAAGTAAATTCTAAGTAATATCACCAAAGTTGAGCCAAAGTCTCTTACTTTCTTCTGATTTAGTCTTGTATAGAACGCTAATAAATTGGTCTCTCTTGGAATGGGAGATTCTTTTTAGTTTCTTCCTTGCTTGATATCTCTTACTTGTCAAGGTATCCTATTGCATTCTTATGACTGTTTTAACATGATGATCAAGACTTTTATCATATAGACTATTGTTCCATGCAATCACATTTCTCTTAAACGGTTGTCTGAAGATATTGCCCATAGGTTGGAACTGTTCTCAGGATTGAGGATGCTAAAAATGCAATTAAAGCCGGAGCCAAATTTCTTTTGAGTCCTGCAACTGTTAAGGTTTGCAATTATATTTATGTCCGTACATGTCACATATATAATACCTGATTGTGCTAAATTTCAGTATTTACTATTATTATTTTGTTTTTCTTCTTGTTTGAATCAACTTGAGAGATTCTTGTCACATAAAACTTACATCTTCACTATTTGGTGACACTAGAATGTGTAACCGGTGTGCTTTTTTTTTTAAATTGTTTATTGGTTATCAGGACATAATGGTAATGGAGTACGTTAAGAGTGGTGAAGTTTTATATATTCCTGGCACAATGACTCCAACTGAAGTAAGAGTCAACTTTTAGATTCAAGTCTTTCATGATAATTCTTCTATCATTAATTTTTTTACAATGCATTTTTTTTTTAGCATTCATTGACCACTCCTTAACGATCATTGTGCAATGCAGATATTGTCTGCATGTGATGCAGGTGCTAAAATGGTAAAGGTACGCCTTTCCATCTTTAATAGTTAACATTCATATCTTTATATTTAGAGATGTCCCATGTTCAATTTATTTTTCTTCATAAGGGTTATAATTCACATCATAATTATTCTGTTGAGATCTGTTATCCATGTATCTTTTTTTATTCTTTTTGTATGCTCCTTAGACTAGGGTTTGGGTTGGGACCCATATCCTCTTTATTGTATCTCCTTTTCTATAAATACAATGTAACAGTGCCTTTGACGACTGTATCAAACCCTAAATAAGTTTTCTCAAGTTAGTATTAGAGTGGGTAAGATCCCGCACTGATTTCCGATCACCTCTGTCATCTCCGATCACTGGGCCGTCATCACCGTCGACCATCGTCTCCGTTTGGACCGGTGAAGAAGGGGTTTTGTGTGCCTCGAGGAGTGTGACTCATCCCTGTAAGTTGCTCCTCTGTTAGCTGTCCCACGCGCTGTCACGTGCAGTCGTCCCGGAGAGTCTTCTCAAGCGTGTGTATCCCACGCGCCACCTTCCAGTGGCCGGAATCAAGGCCGACTACCTTTGTTTGACTTGTCGGTGTTCTCCGAGTCCAGTGGTGCCCTTAGTTTTCTGTTTTGAGAACTGTGTGTGAAAAGTCCCGTGGGTAACCCTATTCATTGGTTTTATTTGTGTTCTCTAGTTCAGATGTCTTCATCCACTGCCGTCTCTGGTTTTATTTGAGGGGGAGGATGCAACAGTGGAGGAGGATGTGGTAGTATGAAAGTTCATCCTCAATGCTCCTATTGTAAGAGTATGAGACACATGTAGGAAAATTGTTATTCTTTGCATGGTTTTCTTGACAAGACTGTCCATGCATCAAAATCCGAGAAGTTACATATGAAAATTTCTGATGAAGAGTATCAAGAATTTTTGAAGTTCAAATCTAGAAAGTTTAGCAGTCAAGGTCAATCATCTTCAATGCGAAATGTTTCAACTGAATGCATTTCTGAATCTGTGGAAGGTCAGAACCCATTAATTCTTGATTCAGGTACCTCTGATCATATATCTGGTAATAGTTCCTCGTTTTCCTTTATGTCTTATCCTAAAATTCCTCACTTAATCATTATAGCTAATGGATCCAAAGTGAAAGCCCAAGGAGTTGGCCAAGTTCCTTTAACCCCATCTCTAAATTTAAATTTAAATTTTGTTCTTTTCATTCCTAATTGCCCTTATAACTTGATCTCTCTAAGTCAACTGATAAATCGGATGCCATCTTCCTCTCTTAAAAATCAAATCCCATATTCTCTTATCTTCCCAGATGATCCTCTTTTTCATGTATCTCCTCGTGTATTTGGTTGTACTTGTTTTGTTCATAATGTATCTTCAGGTCTTGATAAACTAAGTGCTAAGGCTATTAAATGTGTTTTCTTGGGGTACTCTCGCCTTCAGAAAGGGTATAAATGTTATTCTCCATCCTCCAAAAGGTATTATATGTCTGTTGATATCACCTTTTTTGAGGAAACATCCTTCTTTTCTTCTTCCTATGGAAGATGGTTCATCCATTCAACTAGTTTTGCCTATACCTTCTTGTGATTCACTTATAATACCTGATCCTTCCCTAATTCAGTTTACAGGTCATAATGATACTCCTCCTCTTCTCATATATCACCGCAGGACCCCTCCTACACCTTTACCAGTTCTTACAGATAATTGTGATACAGATCCGTCTCCATCGGTTTCTCATACCATGGATCCTTCAACCTTATCTCCCACTTCTGATTCTGGCTGGCCTATTGCACTTAGAAAATGTACTCGTTCCACTCAAAATCCCTTTCTTATTTATACCTTTTTAAGTTACCATCGTCTGTCTCCTTCATATTCTTCTTTTGTTGTCTCTTTGGCTGATACTTCTATTCGTAATAATATTCATGAGGCACTTGATCACCTGGATGATGAGAAGTCATGATTGATGAAATACAGGTCTTTGAGCACAATGACACTTGGAAGCTTGTCCCTCTTCCTCCTGACAAAGTTGTGGGTTGTAGATGAGTCTATGCGGTTAAAGTTGATAATAATGGTAAAGTGAATCGTCTCAAAGCTCGTTTAGTAGTTAAAGGCTTTACTCAAATTTATGGCCTTAACTACTATGATACCTTCTTTCCAATAAGTAAGATTTTCACTATTCGTCTTTTCCTTGTTATGGTTGTTATTCGTCATTGTCGCCTTCACAAACTGGACATTAAAAATGCATTTCTTCACGGTGATCTTGAGGAAGAGATTTATATGGAGCAACTTTCTGGCTTTGTTGCTCCGGGGGAGTCTAGTTTAGTATGTAAGCTACATTGGTCTCTTTATGGCTTGAAGCAATCACCCTGAACTTGGTTTGAGAAATTCAGTCATGTTGTGCAGTCGTTTGACTTGAAAAGGAGTGAAGTAGACCACTCAGTATTTTTTTATCATTCCTCTACAGGCAAGTGTGTGGATCTTATGGTTTATGTTGATGACATTGTTATTATAGACAATGATTATACTGAGATCAACCAACTGAAGAATCATCTGTTTGCTCACTTCCAAACCAAATATCTTGGTCAATTGAAGTATTTTCTTGGTATTGAAGTGACCCAGTCAAAGGAAGGTGTGACCATTTCTCAAAGGAAGTATGATCTTGATATTTTAAAGGAGACTAGTCTAACAAATTGTAAGTCCATTGATACCCCAATAGACCCTTACTAGAAATTGATGAAAGACGAAGGAGAAAAGTTGTCAGATCCAGAAAGATATAGGGGATTGGTTGGTAAACTCATTTATCTTACTATTACCAGACCGGATCTTTCTTACGCGGTTGAAGTAGTTAGCCAATTCATGCAAAATCCTTATGTTGATCACTGGGATGCCTTGATTCGCATTCTGAGATATGTTAAAGAGGTCCCGGGACAAGCATTGATATATGAAGACAAAGGTAATACTCAAATTTTAGGTTATTGTGATGCAGATTGGGCTGTTTGTCCCATTGATAGGAGATCAACTACTGGGTATTGTATTTTTATTGGAGGAAATTTGATTTCTTAGAAGAGTAAAATGTTGTAGCTCGATCTAGCGCAGAAGCTGAGTATAGATCTATGACACTTGCTACATGTGAACTTGTGTGGATCAAACAACTCCTTCAAGATTTAAATTTCTGTGATAGTGGGTAGATGAAGTTATTTTGTGATAATCAGACAGCTCTCTATATTGCCTCCAACCCAATCTTTCATGAAAAAACAAAACATATTGAGATTGATTGTCATTTTGTTAAAGAGAAGTTGTTGTCCAAGGAACTTGTAACTTTGTAAGTTCCAATGAGCAACTGGCGGATATTTTAACTAAATCCTTAAGAGGACCCAAAATTCAATTCATTTGTTCAAAGCTTGGTGCATTCAATCTATATGTTCTAGATGGGGGAGTGTTGAGATCTGTTGTTCATGTATCTTTTTGTATCTTTCTTAGATTAGGATTAAGGGTTTGGATTGAGGTCCATATCCACTCTATTGTATCTCCTTTTCTATAAATACAATGTAACAATGTCTCTGGTTACTATATAAAACCCTAAATAAGTTTTCTTTTAAGTATTCCATCTGAGGTTAAATCATAACTTCACTTACACAAGTATATATTGTGCTTCTCTACTTTATCATGGTCCAACCCTCCATCGTAATATATTCATAAAAGAGACAAAGGCCTTGAGTTATTCATATTCTAGCTACCTTTTTAGCTCCTTTTCTCCTCTGACTGTAGGAGCAATGCATTAGTAAAGATAACATGATGATGGATCCAATGGTCAAGATTCATGTAAAGGTCACATGCATAGACTAACATCAAATGTATTTTATATTTTAAAGCAACTTCTTACACTTGGCTTCTACCTTGTGATAGATATATCCAGTTTCTGCACTTGGAGGGTTTCAGTACATATCAGCACTCAAGAAGACCTTTCCTCATGTCTGTATGGTTGCTTCCCAGGGAATAACTATAGGTAGTTCTGAAATTTTCCAATTGGGTATATCTTGAGTGATATTAAGTCCAAATGCTATCTATACCACAATAGGAGAACGTTAGAGAGATATGGGTAAACTGCATCAGAACATACATAACGGGTACTAGATATAAAAATATTCAGGATTATTATGTTTTAAGATATCATCACCATCATGTTAAGTTAATGCATGTAAAAAGACTAGAATTCTATTTGGCTATGCACTATATGATTTGTGTTTTTACAAACACTGCTTTTGACGAACTGTTTATATCAGCTTATGGAACAAGCTTTAGAAGAATTTTACCAAGTTTTTAATAAATGTGTGCACTACTAACTTCATCCATATATGTCCAATAGACACAAGTAAGCATTTTATATAGAAGATCAAGTTAACGCCATTGGAATAACCATTCATTGTGAATGACTTTAAAACTATTTTAACAACCAATTCTACTGTTAATTTCCCCAAAATTTCTAATCACTTGATTATTTTTTTCTTGAAGTTCAAAATACATCTAATCTAAATAAGAAAATCACTCTGGACCTTGACAAACGATGTATATAGTATATGTAGACACTAGATGTAAGAAATAGGCAGAGTTTGTCTTCATCTCATTGTTTGCAGATGCTATTGAGGAATATATTTTGCGAGGAGCATCATCAGTTGTTTTGTCAGACGCCATATTTGACAAAGAGGCAATGGAGCAACATAATTTCGATAAGATACATAAATTTGCACATTCTGCTACCTTACGGGGTAACACAGCTGTGAATAGATAAAGCCTTTTACATTTTTGAACATTTAATGCTCTTGTTTTCTTCTAGAGTTAGCCAGAATGGTTGTTTCAAATGGCTGTTGCATATATTTTTGAATCATTTTGTTAGAATTTGATAGAGCAGTTAATCTGAACCGCTGGTTGATCCTCAAGGATCTCTCAACTCTAATAGCTCAGCATATTTAGAGTTGCATACTTGTATCAATATGACAGTGTTGATGTAGGGCGTTTCAATTTCTCTTATTTTTTAAAGTTTGTATCTTTCTTTATTCTTATCATTTTTTATTCATTATTTTACATTATATTATATCAAATAAAAAACTAAATAATAAATTTAAATATTTAGAGCTTGTTTGATTTAACTTTATTTTTTAGTTATTAATTTTACACAATTGGAAAAACATTTAAAAATTATTTTAAGCAAAAAAGCATGATATAGATAACTATAAAATATCGTAATAAAATTGAAAAATAATTTTATACTAATAAAAATATGTGATTTAATATAATTATTAAAAAAACATTAGTATAATAGAAAATTATAGTAAAAAATATCTTTTATCATTTTTGGTTTTTTAATTTTGTAAAACTAAAAAATGAAAGTAATTTTTAAAATTTATTTTAATAAACAGTTATAAATAAGTATATTGAAAATTATTTTTAAAAATAATAAACAAACAAGAACTGATTTCTAGTTTTTATTATAAATTTATTTATTCTTTAGTAAAAGTAGATTCATAACATGAAGAGAACCTCTATGAAAAGCGCAAACTTTTGATACAAAGATATTAAACTTTTTTACAACAAAGTGTAAATATTATTGCCTGTTTCGAAATAATCGTTTAAGGTGTTTTAACTCATAATTTTATCTTTATAATTAATGTATTATTTTATTAAGATAAAGAGAATTTTTATAAAAAATAAATTAGAAATAAAATAATTAAAAATTTGTGTGTAATCATTTCATACTAAAAATGGTAGCCTATGTTCATCTTTGGTTAAGGTTTTCAATAAGCTCATACATTACAAGTTGTATTAATAACCCAATATGACTAATTAAGTTGTAACAATTTATGACACTATGATAATTATGAGTAGAATATAATTTCGATGGAGTACGGCTTTCTGCATTTAAAAAAGGATTTTAGCATGATCACTAACAATTTTTTAATATAAATAAAGTTAAGAAAATAATGCAGCTTTGGGTTTATATTACATTAATTAGATGACCCCTTTTCAAATTACGAATGGTTACACTATGATTTTCAATTTAGTGAAAATACAATTATATAATTAATCATAAATTATTATATATATGACAAGATTATTGAGTTTGTAATAATTAATTCTAAATATTTTTAATTGGTTAGTAATAACAAAATTTCAACATTAACAAATTAAACTATTTTTTTCAACTAATCACACAAAAATGAAGCTTTTTTCTTTTTTACATTTGCTATGGTTTGGATAAGCACACCATAATTCCTATCAATCAACCACATCAGAAAACAGTGTTAAGTTTGAGTAGGTTATTGTATAATTTAAAGAGATTTTAATATTTTTTTCGTAAAAAAACATTTTTTTAAAATTGAAAAAAATTTAAAGATTTATTTAAGGTGGAGGACCACCTTCCAAACAAAACTTATTTTGCATTGAATGCTTATTCATTAGTAGCATTTAATCTACATTTATTTAATAGTAAAACTGCGAAAAACGTTAAAGAACTAATTACAATCAATTAGTATCATAAATGTTTTCTTCATTATTAAGAATATTATTCAATCATAAATAATAAGTAAAGTAAAAAAAATAAAAAGTAAATAATCAAATTATAAAAAAACAAATAAATAGTCAACTTAAAAAAAAAACATTTGAGAGATAACTTTTCCATTATAATAATAATACAAAAATCTTTCTCAAATGATAAAACTAATCTCTATATTCAGATTATTGAGTGTGTAATTCTTGTATTCTGTCACCAATCTCGGCCATAAGAAAATTGTGCAATACATAGTGATAGATAGAGAGGAGATATATATTCATTAAAATCAGCTGTTTGTGCAGCCCACTGGAATTCTTAACATAGCCCCCGGTTTTCTGTTTTACTTTCCAAACCACTCTCTCTCTCTCTCCTTTCTCTCTCCCTCAATTTCACTTTCACATCTCATTCATTCATTCATTCCCCTGCCTCTTTATATCAAACATGCAATATTGTTTCATCAGTACAATGTACCATTCTTTCCCCTCTCTCTTCCTCTTCAAGCCAATGCTCCTTTTCACTTCTCTGTACCTTCCCTTCTACCCTTCTAAACGTGTTAAACCCTCTTAGAATCTCACTCCCTTTTCACCATCTCACCTTACAATACACCTTCCTCTGTTTTGCCCTGTTTTCTTATGGTTTTTTCTGTTTTCCTTCTTCCTTCCTTCAATTTTCTTTTCCCACTTTTCTACCGAACCCATTTTCCATAATTGCATTTCATCCCCGGATAAAGCAAATTTCTGACATCAGACTCAGTAGTGCCCACAAAAGTTTCTGTTTTTTTAGTGGGTGTTCTGAATTCAATTTAAATGGGGATTGGGAGGAACTTGTCTGAGAAGAAGGGGAGGGAATTGTGTGAATTGCGTGAAGAGACGAACACCAACACCAACAAATCGAGGAAGAATAGGAGACATCGGCTGAGGAAGATGACGCCTGGGCAGAGGTTGTTTCAGACGTGTAATCAGGTGTTTGCTTCTACTGGCCCTGGGATTGTCCCTTCCCTTCAACACATTGAAATGCTTCTCTCTGTTCTAGGTGAGTGGAGTGCTCCCATCACACGTCCAACTTCTGCATTTTTTATTTTACTGGAATTTTATTTTGGTCCTTTGCATGATGAAAGTTTGTGTTGGTTTGTCTTAAACATGGAATTTCAACTCTAATCAAAGAATAGCATAGAATTAAGGTTTTAAAAAATGGTTTTTGTAATGGGTTTTGGTGTGATTGCAATTGCTGCTACATTCCATGTATTTGTTTATAATTCACTGTGATCACTATTTAAAACTTTCATGGAAGTCTAGGAAATTCAGCACATGTAGCATTTTTAAACACTGGATCAGAAAAAAAAAAAAAAAAGCTTTTTTGAATTTTTAACCTTTTGGAGATCCAGTTCCAGTGACCTACAGGTGAATTTCATTGAATTTTGCATTTTATCTTCATGTGGTGATTGATCATTTTGTTTGCTTGTAGTAACGGAGTTGTTTCCTTTTAGCCTGGGAATGAAAAAGCCATAAAGATTTTGCTTTTATTTCTTGTTCAATTATTGAATGGAAAGTGCAAATGGAATGAGTTATCAATTTTTAATAAAAAAATGATATATTATATTATAAAATTTCACATTATTTGTCACTTTTTCTTTTCTATAAAAACACACTTTTCCTCTTAAAATATAAACAAAAGTTAACTATTCCTCTTAAATATGAACAATAATTTAATTATTTTTATGTCATGTATCTTTTTATAAAATATTCTTAAGTAACTTTAATTAATTTTTAATATACGGTTGCATCATGTGACCTTTTGTTTTACTAGATTAATAACAAAAATACTAAAAAAATTAGAGGGTCAATAGAATTTAATATATATATATATATATATTTTTTTTTTCTTGTTTTTAAATGAGAAGAATGGAGTATTCATTTTATTAATTAAATAATTTAATGTATATTTAAATATAATTTTGACCTTAGGATGAAAGTTTTGTAAGGCTAAGTTTTGGAAGACTAAGATACCATTATTTAATTGTGATTTATTTATTTTTTTATTTTTACTTTGCTGTAGTGGAACCGATTGAAGCAATTCTGAATATTGTCTATTACTACTTTTCAACTCAAATGCAAGGAAAATTGATTAAGATGTATGTTTAACTAATATTTTTGTTTTCATTCAATAATGAGTACATGTGGTCAATTATATTCATTGGAAATAATATTTAGATTAAAAAATATATTTTGAAATAGTAACATTAACTAATTAAGTAGGATTAAAGTAGTGGTAGTTTATTTTATATTTAAATTCACTATTTTTTATTTATTTTATATTTGAGTCCAGAAGAAGAAACTTACACATTTTGTTTGCATTCTTTTTGGGGCTGTGCTCTTTTGTATGCTGTATACGTGTGTCCATCCCCTATGTTTCTATGGGCCTCTATGTCTTGTATATTTCATGCATTGATGCAAATGCCCATGATCTTCTCATTCGTGTTTGGTATTTATCTCTATCATTTTCATTTTTTTATGGTTTTAACAAAAAGTTAAAATAATTTTTTCATTCCACATATCGTAGTGCCTTTTTCAATCTTAATTTAATTAATTTATCAGTCAAATGTCAAGTTTTTTAACTTTTAAGACCATAAACATAGCATCCTGAGTGCAATGATTCTTAATAAGGTGATGTCTTATTATGCCAAACACACGTGTTTCTCTATCCTTTGGTCGTGGCTAGTTGTCATTGGTAGGTTAAATATTACAAGTATTTTCGTGATAATGACCATAAGTAGCTGGTTTACGTAAATGATTAAACTCCCTGTTATTAGTCACTGGCTAGGCAACAATCAATCATTTCTCATACTGTACACTTTAAGTTTTCTGATAAATAAAATTTCCCTTTACCAAGGTAATAATTGAAAAATTAAATATTATATATATATATATATATATATATATTTATTCGAGATGTTATATAAATATTTATAATAATAATAATAATATTAATATTCTTGGCACTAGCTGAAGCAGCTTCTCAACTTTGTTTTTGGGCAAATACCTAAATTAGTTTATGTAATATATATATATATATATATATATATATATATATATATATATATATATATATTAATGCCATTTCAATAAAAAAAATGTAATCTTTTAATGTTGTCAACATAAAAAATTGAAACAATAATTTGCCTTTTTTATATAAGAATAAATTGTGTTATTAATTTTGGAAGGCTTTTCATATTTTTGTTTGAAGAAGGTTTGATGAAATTTTTTATTCGAAAATAAATTAAGTCGAGGGATTTTTGTTTTGCTTTTAATAAATAAAGAACATGTTTATTTCTTATTTTTGAAATTAAAAATAAAACAAACTAATTGAATAAAAGGACATTGATTTTTATTTTAAATTATTTTTGTTTTTCTGCTTTCAATTTTCGATTATTCATTATCTCATTTTCTTTTCTCATCCTTACTCTTTTAAAAATAGTTTTTATATTTAATTTTTTAAAACTAAAAGTACTAAAGCATAATACCCTTAATTCTTCATTTTTGTTTTACATTTATTTTAATGCGTCTATGGAATTGATTCAAATAGTTCATTTCCTGGAAGTAATGCCAAGAATAAATCTATACCAATATTTAATTTCAATTGCTTTTTTTTTTTCACATTTTCCGTAATTAACTCTATACGTTATGATAAGCATATTTAGTAATGACTTATCTTTGTGCAGGTGGAATAAAACAAGAAGATGTTGGCTTGAGGCCTGACATGCCATATTTCAGTACAAACAATCCTCGAAGAACACCAAAAATTACATACCTGCACATTTATGAATGCCAACAATTCTCGGTAATTAAGCTATTAATGATTGAGAACATGTTTGAACATTCTTTTTATTTTTGTCAGAATCAAAAGAAAACAAGAGAAAAATATTTTTTTTGTAAATTAAAACTAATTGTATATTTGATGACTGAAGTATTATTTCATATTTTTTTGTTCATCAGATGGGAATATTTTGCTTGCCACCCTCTGGAGTTATTCCTCTTCACAATCACCCTGGAATGACGGTTTTCAGCAAGCTTCTTTTTGGAACCATGCACATCAAATCTTATGATTGGGTCGTGGACTTGCCTCCTCACATTTCTACGATGGTCAAACAATCAGAAAGTGAGTGTTTTATTGTTTTACATGATCAATGATCTTATCTCATCATGTGGATTGTTGCATGTAATTTCAAGTGGCATATTGTGTTAACAAATATGCATATTGTGTGTGGCTGTAGCATCCCAGAGTTCGGATATAAGGTTGGCCAAAGTTAAGGTTGATGCTGATTTCGTTGCTCCTTGTGACCCCTCCATTCTTTATCCTGCTGATGGAGGCAATATGCATTGGTTCACTGCAGTTACAGCTTGTGCAGTTCTAGATGTGCTTGGTCCTCCATACTCTGATCCTCATGGCAGACACTGCTCCTACTACCACAATTTCCCCTTCTCCAACTATTCAGGTATCTTCATACCCTTTGCCAAACCCAGCACTGAAAATATGAGATAATTCATTGAAGTATAGTCGGTTTTGAATTGTGAACAAGGTGGTTTCCACATCTATATATCAGATGTTGTTGATGATGTTTTACTCTATGTATATAGCACCCTTTATTGGCATAGATGTACTATTTTGTCTCATTTCTCTTTACATACAATGATTTGAATCTTTTGGAAACTTCAGTTGATGGAATATCCATACCAGAGGAGGAAAGAAAGACATATGAATGGCTTCAAGAGAAGGAGAAACCTGAAAATCTTCAAGTAGTTGTAAAGATGTACAGCGGCCCAAAGATTGTGGAGAACTAATGTTGTCTTGTCACCCAACATTTTCCTGTTGCCGCAGATCATTTGTCATATTCTATCATTTGATGCCACCGTTTTGTCCTCAAATGAAATTTGGTCTCTATCAAAGTACTACCTTTTTAGTGTTTTTATTTTCTTCTTTATGGAACACGGGGCACTTAATTGGTGCTGTTTTTTTTGGTACATTTAGTTATTGTTATGTACATAGAAAAATTGGAAAGAACAATGGTGGTGCTTACATTGGGAAATAGTGTATCATAATGAAGGTGCACACTGCATAGCAATGGGTTTATTTATTTATTTATTTTTCTTAGAGTTGCTTGCTTTGTAGTGGATATGTTTAATTTATTTCGATCAAAGCCCTACACAGTTGCATCTTCCTTTGTTTAGTAAGAGTAGAAAAGAAGATGAAAGGTAAACGCGATTATAAAGAAACTTTTATCTCATTTGGCATATCGCGACACGGATAATGCTATATCGAAATTCTTTCTTTTTCCAATTTGAGAAGAAAGTAAGATTTTTTTTTAATATTAATAAAATTAAATATAAATAAAATCATTATCTTATTTCGAAGAATAACTTTGTTTTGGATTTTGTAAGTAACTTTTAATCGTTCATATATTTCAATATAATTGTTTCATATTGTACTTTGTTTCAAATCTTTAGTCACCTGCTTATATAATTATATATTTTATATATTCAAAATTTTAAATATCAATGCCAGACATTAACAAAATGATTTTAAAGGGTTAATTAATATTTTATTAAAATAATAAAAATATAAAAATATAATATTTTTATTTAACATATATTTTAATACTTATTAAAAATATTAAATAAAAGACCAAAATTATAAATATTTAAATAAAAGACCAAAATTATAAATATTTAAATAAAAGACCAAAATAAATAAATATAGTTAATAAATATTAAATTGAAAGGTAAAATTATAAATATACTAATAATTATTAAATTAGAAATCAAAATAGTAAATATAGAAATGATTACAAATTTTTGGAAGATGATCTTTTTTACATAAATAAGATCCATCATTACCAAGAGATAGTTTCTCTCTTAAAACAATTAAATTATAGTATTATAAGATGTATAAAATTAGCATACCATGTCGTGCAAAATAAATAAATTATAGAAATAGACCCACAATCTAAGAGAGGATAGATGGTGTTGTGAAATGATGTTTGAATATCAAACAACTATGCATTTATGAAAAAAATTTCAATTATATATTATCGTTTTATTATATTTTAATCAACGTTAAAATCTTTAATAGATTTCTTCACTTGGAGAAAGAATATCTCGAAAGCAAAATTGTTTTGGAACTAAATACGAAATTTGAAAGATTTGAAAGAAAAAAAATATCAGTCAATTGATTCGTTAGTTTTGGAGCATCAAATTCAAACATGGAATAAGTCATGGAAAAGAGGGGTTAGGCTACCTTATTAGCCTATAAAGGTAATAATCAACAATAACTTAATTAGACTAGTGGGAAAGGTGCAATAGGACATGCTAACCCTTTGACAAGTAATATTACATCACCTCTAATCTCCAAGAGACATCTTTATTAATATGCCTATATTGTTGAAATATTTAGGGGTCAAAACGTGACTTTCTCATAGTTCGAATTATACACACAATCAAATAATTATGTTCTGTTGCCAATTAAGTTTATTTAATCTAATCAAGCCTTAAAAACGCATATTTCATACTTATATGCATTAAAACCATTGTCTTATTAATTATCACGATGACACCATTATCTGTTCTTATAATCCAACACTCATTCATATTATTTTTTAATATGTTTCAAACTACGCTCTTAATAATGATATTCATATTCACCACCACACACGCGACAGCTTTCATCTTTCTTTCATCTGATTTTTCTTTTGTTTATCTTTCTTCTGTTATTATATCACATAACCTATGATTATTTTTGTTATCTACTATTCTACCTCATGCAACTTCAAAATAAAACATATATATATCATATATATATATATATATATATATATATATATATTTTACGTTGATCGTGTCTAAAATTGAAGGGTAATGTAACACTCAGATCCCGAGACATACATTTTGGGTCAGTCGCAAATTTAAAAGTATCGACTTAACCAAACATCAACGTTATTTAGAAAATAATATAAATAATAGCTTACTTTTAATGCACCGAAAGACATACAATGTATGATTGGGAACAACAACTTCAACATGTAACACTGACAGTAATTAACGACCGAAAGCTAAATTTTATTTACCTTGTGCTGTGACCCTTGTTTTCAACGTTTGAAAACTTGGTTCAGTTATTTCTTTATATTTTATATATGGTCGATCAGAGTTTAAATGAACATGTGATTTTCTGTTCAATAAATTACATTTTTTTTAATAAAGTTTAGGTTTTGTATAGCACTAAACATTTTGTTGAGGGATAAATAATAATTCTATTTTTATACTATCAACGAATACTGTTTTGTTTACAAACTAAAATTGAAATAATGCAAATGGTTCTTTAATTATATAGTATAAAAAATAAAATCATAAACTTTATTTAACTAGAGAGGGATGACATGAGTAATTTAACATTATCATCATATATAAAACAATAAATTAACTATATTATATATATTTTATGATGTTTGTTGTGTTCTACAATTCATCCAATTTAGATGAAATAACTCTTAAACATAATAGGTTTAACTAACAAAGTAGTTCTATGTTATGACGAGTATTAATTGTTTAATAAACTTGGACAGACAGAGATGATTTAAAAAACCATGGCACTGTATTTTAATTATCCATTGTGTTGTGACAATGCATTGATGGAAAGTAGGTCAATGGCAGTGGACAGCAGAGCAATAGTTTACAAGCATGCAGCGTATGGACCGCGTAATGAGGCTTCACCATTGACAAGTATTCAGAGGTGCTCACTCGCCGCCATGGCTAATAACTGGTTAAATGTTGCAACCTTTGACCACATACCCATGTGACGTCTTCTCATCAGTACCAAGCTTCAACCATAATATTAATTAATGCACAATTTGTGTCCCTCATTTCTCCTTTTCAACATCATTCATGACTCAGATTTGGGAGACCAATTAATTAATTTAACCTTTCAATAATGATAAAAAAAAAAAACTCCTACAAATTATCTTACCAATTTGGTGTTGACATTTGTGGGGGTGGCTTCGTAATGGCAGAGAGCTCTGGGATTTGTATTTGTTTAATTATATCTATACCGTGTCTAGCTCATAGTTGATTGATTTAATAATAGGGTATGTGTTGTATATTTATGGCATTTATATGTGTTAGAGATGAGAGTGTTCTACTAGCTAGAGAAATAGAAATAATTGAAGCCAAAAATGTCTGGTTCTAGTGGTTCAGAGATTGAAGAGAAGAGAGTTACAAAGGTATATACGCTATTGCTTTTCCTTCCCAATTCTTTCTTCTTGTAAAACCTGTACTATTTCTGAATACTTTTTCTTTCTCTTGAACCCATGAATATCGTTTTAACTTTTACTTACAGAATTAGATGAAAATATAGGAAAGTTGCTTGTTGTAATGTTGACCTTTTACATAGACCAAACATTTATTCCGTTGTATGAACAAACCACACTGTAGTTTGGCATGAACTGAGTAAATAATAAAACATAAACTATCTTTGTCTAATTTTATATATATTGGTTGTATTTGAAACATAATTTTTACTTGTGGTATTGAGTCCGTGTGGGTGATCAATTGAGGAATCAAATAACTGATTCTTGTAATTACTGTTGTTTTGAAATCTAGGAAGATAAGGCCAAATCTGCCAAAACTGAGATGGGTGAGGTGAAGGAAGAAAATGAGAGATTGAAGAAGATGCTGGAAACAGTAGAAAAGGATTATCAGTCACTTCAACTCCGTTTCTTTGACATCCTTCACAAAGATGATTCAAAGAAGGGTGTGGTTGATTCGTCTAATTCCCATGATCATCAAAGTGAAGAGTCTGAGTTTGTGTCACTTTGCCTTGGAAGGAGTCGAACGGAGTCTAAGAAGGGGGCTAGAATTGGAGACTCCAACAAAGCTAAAGAAAAAGATGTTGGACCCAACCTTACTCTTGGATTAGACTCCAAACACTTGTTGGCAATGGAGGTTGTGTCTGATTTTAGTCCCATGAACATCTCAGAAGAACCAAAGGAAACGGATGCAGAGGGAACATTGTCAACAAGTCAATCAGCAAAAGTGATTAATGTAAACGAAGATATTTCAAATCAAATGCCAGCCAAGAGAGCAAGGGTATCTGTGAGAGCTAGATGTGATTCTCCCACGGTTAGTATTAAAGAATAATGACACATAATCTTTGATTCCAGATTTTTTTTTTTACCTTTTATAAATAATTATAAAATATTACTTTATTTTTAATTGTTTTCAAAAACTTTGTGTAAGAAACTGTAAAAACAATACCTTTTTGAAAACAGTAATAAAGACAAATGAAAGTATCATTTTGACTTTATTTTTCATTCTTGCAATCTAGGAGATTATAATGTTAATTTTGTGAATTTTCTTGTCTAATAGCTATCGTTGTGCTTTTCAAACAGATGAATGATGGATGTCAATGGAGGAAATATGGACAGAAGATTGCAAAGGGAAATCCATGTCCAAGGGCATACTATCGTTGCACAGTTGCACCAACATGCCCAGTTAGGAAGCAGGTATATAATTTAATTTGTATGCATTATAAATTTTTATTTCAACATCATCTGAGAATTCACTATATGGTCAGACATTAATGAATATCTGTGTAAAAATATACAAACTCATATATGTGCATTATTTTTGTTGTGTAATATTTGAATTTGTTTCAGATGTATTGAATAATAATAGCCAAATTTAATGCATGATTGACTTCAGGTGCAAAGGTGTTCTGAGGACCTGTCCATCTTAATCACCACCTATGAAGGAGCCCATAACCACCCACTTCCAGTTTCAGCCACAGCCATGGCTTCAACCACTTCTGCTGCTGCTTCCATGCTGTTGTCAGGTTCTTCAACATCTCACCTTTCAAGCCACATTTCTACATCTTTTGGAAATGCTCCTACCACACTACTCAATGGTCTAAGTTTCAGTGACCAGTTTCATGAACCCAAAGCCAAACAAATCTTCTCACCACCAAACCATGCCTTACCACATATGTTCTCAACAATCACCCTAGACCTGGCTTCTTCAGCTCCTTCCTCCTCTTCAACTCAATTCCACCATGGCTTACCGTCAACCATGGCTTCAATTTCAAACCCAAGATTTTCCTCAGCTAGTCTCAGCTTTTGTTCACCCGAGCATAACTTCATCCCATCCATTTGGGCTAAGGGTTTTCATGATAATGGCACAACCACAACACCAATTAAAGTCCCCACAAGGCCAGTTATACAGTCAAATAATTTCCAACAACCTTTCTACCAACAATGCACAACAAACCAGACTCCCTCCAGAGAAGCTTTGGCAGAAACAATAACCAAAGCAATCAGCACAGACCCGAGTCTTCGCTCAGCAATAGCTGCTGCAGTTTCATCAATAGTTGAACATGGATCAAACAGTAGTAAACAAGAGGTATCAGAGAATGTTCTTCGTTCAGGGTTGAACTTAAAACTTGGGGAGCATCTTCAATTGGCTTCCCCCAATCCCTTAGACCAGAATGGGAAAGGATGCTTAACAGGCTACTTCAAGAGTTTATCCTCTAAAAGTTCTGAGGATGAAAACTTCATTCTTCTCCAACACCCATTGCCAATTTCTTACTCCAAGAGTATCACAAATCAGATCAACCACCATGTTCCAGAAATGAACACGCATCATTAGCTCTCTCTTCCTCTTGGACATGGCCAAGGTTCAAGATCCTACTATTTCATGGAAAATAGGACCCCACTAACAAGGATTAGTTTAGAACAAAATGAACCGGTACAAATCAATGTTGTCAACCCTACAATCTAGTTATTACTAGCCATTTCATCAACATATATTTGTTCTTAATTATCCAAAACACTTTCATGCCATTTTTGTAACACTCCAGCAACTGCTCAGAATCTATAACTATTACAGAAATTACTACAAAAACAGTGTACTATAAATGTTATGCTTAAAAATGCTCTAAAATTCACAGACCGTACAACGCTGTTTGCAAGGCATACATGCATGCCTTTTTTTTTTTTAATTTACTAAATGATTTAACTAATTTATTGCTTAGCGTTTCGCTGAGTTTTTACCATTATCTGGTTTCATACTTTTGGACTAAGGAAAGAAGAAAAACGAAAGGACTGAGTAATGTAATAAATGATGTGGTATGATAAAAAAAGAAGGAAAATCTCTATACTCTTACTTCGTTTGCTCGTACCAGTTTTCTTTTTTCTATTACGTTAAGTTATAAGAATTAGACTGAGTGGTCAAATAAAGCTAATGAGCTGGAAGGTTAAGAGGCATTGACAAGTCCTAAATAGAGAAATATTCATTTTTCGGTGCTAAGTATTATGATTTTATTTATTTAATGAATTCTGCATTGAAGATATATCTGTTATAAACTAACATATTATCAGGTCTATCCTCAACATATAGATCATACGCAAAATTAAGAAAACAAACATGTTGTTGATCCATATATAAATATGAGCAGCCCAATTCCCCTCACACAAGTCAATAAATTCTCAGCACAACGTAGTGATCAATGCAGAAACATCACACGAGATTATAGCAAAAATATCCTAAATAACAAAACACCAAAATCACAAGAGATTACATAATTTTGTTTTTGAAGAAATAAATGGAATTGATACGTAGATTAAGGATACATTGAATAAATAATATATTCACCAACCATATTAAGTTTTATAAAGTCGAGATATTACAGTCTTATTCGACAAGATACATTAAAGAATTTTAAAACGGTGATGTCTTTCCCACCAGTGAAAAAAAATATTCAACAACTTATTACTATGATTGTGAAAAAATAGTCATAATAAATTTTTGTAATATTAAAAACACTTATTATGTCTTTTGTCGTTTATAAGAAGAACTGACATAGTAAGTCAGTTACTATATTGGTATAATAAAAACAGACATAATAAGATTATTATAACATTTTTGTAACACCAGGTATAAAACTTACTATGTCAGTTAATTGTATAACTGACATAGTAAGTCATTTACTATGTTGGTTATAATAAGAGTAGACATAGTAAGTTTCTCGGTGACATTTTTGTAATATTAGATATAAAACTTACTATATCGGTTATACTTTTAATTGACATAGTAGGTCCTTGGTGGTATTTTAGTAATATTAGACATAAAACTTACTATGTCGGTTATTTGTTGACCCGACATAATAAGTAACTTACTATGTCTGTTTTTTTCATAACTGACATAGTAAGTGTCTAGGGTTTCACATTAGGTTTCATCTCCACAAGGATCTCTGTGCGTTATGTTGTTGTTCTTCGTCTTCCCACAGTCTCTGCATCCTCCTCCACGTTATTAAACAAATGACATCTAGAAGAAGATGAATAGATGCACAAATTAAAATAGATGCCAAATTTAAAATTTATTTTAAGATATTCAATAATTTATTAATTCAATTTTAATTATTAGATAAAATATATATAAAAGCAGAAGCGATATAATCAGATAGATAAAGGGAAAGATTCAAACGTGAAGATGTAGGATGCGGTGTTGTTAAAGAGATAAAGACAAGAGAAGAACACACAATAATTTATATTGGTTTGGGTATAGCCAACCCTACATCCAGTTCTCGATCAACTCTAATCACGAGAGTAACTCCCAATTCACTATCTTTAAAATTCGAGTTTACAAATTACAATCAACTCAACGAGATAAACTAACACTACAAAAAAACGATTATTATCTACTGGGTAAAATCGTAGGTAATGTCACTTCACCTAATGATTTCTTTTCGTTTTTAATAGATAATTTACTACTGATTATATATAATCAGTAGGTACTCACTCACCTAAACTAAATATTTATATTTATTACAACTCCTTCACTTATATATTATATTCTAACTTTGAATTATTATTGACTAAGGGAATTGCAACCCAGACTTCAGAGTTGAGACCGATACTCCAACCACTAAGCTACTAGGATATTTTAATAATAATTTACAAATAAATTATATTTATATTTATCAGTGTAAATATATAAATATAAAATATATAAATATAAAATATATAAATATAAAATATATAAATATAAAATATATATAAAAAAAATATAAATATAAAATATATAAATATAAAATATATATATAAATATAAAAATATATATATAAATATAAAATATATAAATATAAAATATATATAAATATATAAATATATATAAATATAAAATATATAAATATATAAATATATATAAATATGAAATATATGAATATAAAATATATATATATATAAATATATAAATATAATATATATAAATATAATATATATAAATATATAAATATATCAATATATTATATATTTATATATTTATATATTTATATATTTATATATTTATATATTTATATATATATATTTATATATTTATATATTTATATATATTTATATATTTATATATTTATATATTTATATATTTATATATTTATATATTTATATATTTATATATTTATATATTTACACGAATAAATATAAGTATAATTTAGTTGTAAATTATTATTAGAATATCCTAATAAGTGTAGTGGTTGGAGTATCAGTTTTCAACTTTAAGGTACTGGGTTCGATTCTTGCTAGTGACAATTCTTTTAGTTTAATATAATTTACACTACGATGATAGTAATTCCATAGGTAATGAATAATTACTCACGGATAAAATTTCGTAGGTAATATCCGTAGATAATGTACACTTTACTTATGGATAGTAATTGCGTAGGTAATTTACCTATGAAATTATCCACGGATTACATTACCTACGGATAATATCCGTAGGTAATGGATAATTACCTACGGATAGAATTTCGTAGGTAATGTACAATTTACCTACGAATTTTCATCCGTGAGTAATATTCGTAGGTAATGTAAAATTTACCTACGGATTTTTATCCGTAGGTAATATTCCGTAGGTAATAGGCTTTTTTTTGTAGTGTAATTAAAAAGACAATCACCTCCTTAGAAACTCACTAAGGATGGACATCACCCTAGAATCTCACTAGGGATGAACACCTCCTCTGAACAAATTAAAGGATGAAAAACACCTCATTTGCAACCAACACACAAAGGATGAACATCTCTCTAAAATCACACTAGGGATGAACACCTCCCCGAACAAATCAAAGGGATGAAAACACCTCCTTAGAATCCCACTAAGGATGAACACCTCCTTGAACAAATCAAAGGGATGAAAACACTTCCTTAAAATCCCACTAAGAATGAACACCTCCCCTAAAGGGATGAACAATTCCCACACAGGAAACCCTAAAATAACACAATTGATTAATTTAAACCTCTTAAACTCACAAAAGGATAAATGTAATAAAATTAGAACAATCACACCTGATAATGAAGACAAAAAATTGTAGAAGCTTGTAGAATGTCAACCTCCAAGAACAAGTGTGATTAACAATGAAAACACAAAAGGTAGTAGAGAAGATAATTTTCTCGAAGGTGTAAAATATCTCTGTTGCCTTGCTCAAAATTCTTTTCTTAAAAGCTGAATGAATGTAAAATTGTATTTTCGAATTTTGTAATTGTGTGTATTTTATTTTTCATCAAAACTTATTTAAATAGGAAAATAACATCGAGAAAATAGTCGTTAGTCATTAATATTTTCGTAGAGATGTATTTAAAAATATTTATTCTTTAAAACAGATATATTTTTTAAATTTGAACTACCATAATCGATTATGTTACTAGTATAATCAATTATGACAGAGAGAAAATCAATTTTTCATTTATGATACATCATAATCAATTATGACAGTGAAAAATATCATGTTATGAAATTTTATCACACTTGTGCTTTAGAGGCTTATGCATAATACCACTTCATCAACTTGTACCTCTATATCCAGTATTCTAATAAGACTTTATCTAGTCTTCACGAATCATCTTGAGCTTGCTTGAATCATCATCTTTTTCAGAATGTATATCTAGTCTTCAGGCTTCATCTTGAGCTTGCTAGAGTCTTGAATGTTGTTGACTTGAATCATCATCAAAATTATCTCTTGGAAATATAGGGACATGTTTTACATTGTCATCAATCTGCCCCTCATTGCTTTCATTCTCCCCCTTTTTGATGATGATAAAGGAAACACCTGAAATGAATTAAAATGCTTGACTCTATATAGCTAGATCAAGATTAACACATATTTGCACAATATAGTATATTTAAACTCTCCATAGATATGTTAATAACAAAGCTCCCCCTAACTCATCTGAGCAGAACTTCTCCTAACTCCCCCTGTTTAATTCAGAATTAGGAATGGATTTCATACAGATTTTAATCTTCCATTGTTTTATTGATAATCATAAAAAAATTATTATAAGAGAAAAAAAAATCTCCCACTATTTCACACAGATTAATATCATCAAAATATCTCCCTGTTTTATTCATAATTATGAAAAATATTGCAAGGGAAGTTTAGCACATATTTGCATAGATTTGCACTTAAACTAAGGCAGAGAAGATAATGCATCACAAAGTATCATAGAGAAGAACATCATAATAAGGAGATAATATCTAGGATACCTAAGGCAAATGAAGAGAGAGATAATATCTAGGGGAATGAAATGATTACAGAGATAATGGAATGAAATGCAGTAGTTCTCCCCAATTGCAGTTTTCTTATTAAGACAACTTTT